TCAATGTGCAATTCAACAAAATCAGAGCGCGACCCCAATGCGATCAATGCGCGATCTCAATGCGATTAATGCGCGACTCCAATGCGGTCAATGTTCTACCCCAATGCAAAAAATGCGCGACCCCAATGCGATCAATGCGCGACCCTAATGCGATCAATGTGTGATCCAACGCAATCAGGGCGCGCCCCAAATGCGATCAATGCGCGACCTCAATACGACCAATGCGCGACCCAACGCAACCAGAGCGCGACACTAACGCGATCAGTGCGCGACTCCATTGCGGTCAATGCGCGACCCCAATGCGATCAATGCGCGACCCCAATGCGATCAATGTGCAATCCAACAAAATCAGAGCGCGACCCCAATGCAATCAATGCGCGATCCCAATGCGATTAATGCGCGACTCCAATGCAAACAATGCGCGACCCCAATGCGGTCAATGCGCGACGCCAACGCGATCAATGCGCGATCCCAATGCGGTCAATGCGCGATTCCAATGCGATCAATGCGCGACCATAATGCGATCAAAGTGCGATCCAACGCAATCAGGGCGCGCCCCGAATTCGATCAATGCGCGACCTCAATGCGCGACCCAACGCAACCAGAGCGCGACACTAACGCGATCAGTGCGCGACCCCAATGCGGTCAATGCGCGACCCCAATGCGGTCAATGCGCGACCCCAATGCGATCAATGCGCGAGCCCAATGCCATCAATGCGTGACCCCAATACGATCAAAGTGCGACCCAACGCAATCAGGGCGCGACCCAAATGCGATCAAAGTGAAATGTAATGCGATTAATGCACGACCCCAATACGGCCAATTTGCGACCACAGTGCGATCAATGCGCGTCTCTAATGAGGTAAATGCACGACACCAGCGTATTCAACGCGAACCGCGAAGGCGAAAATAATGGCAGGGTTCACTGTACTGGAGTGGTAATGTGCCATCATATACAACGGAGGCGATGCTCAAAATATCGATATTTGTACACACAACGACTACATGCAAGTACCGGGGCGATTATCTATCATTTATTTAGGCGGGTAAATAAATGAAATAAGAATGTGAATTACCACCAATCGCTACACTACAGGAAACAATGCTGAGATAATGTAATAGCTATAACCAACCGAATGCCTCGAGTATATCAACCGAACTTGGAGTGAATTGTGCACATTTGTATTGTATATCCGGCTTTGGCGGGTGTTATTGCTTTATTATACATAACAATTTATTCAATAATCTTATGCTTTATATAAAACTTTGTTTATGCAATATAAATATGTATTTGTTATCGAAATGAAACATTATTATTGAAAATATTGGTCGTTTACATAACAGATGACGACACAAGATCAAAATGAAATACCTGCTCCGGATCACGACGACGACAATCGAGGACCTTGCTGATTTGAAAAGTATCACGTAAGGATTTCTTCTCGTCCATATGAAATAAACCAGCGGAATGGTACAAAATGTATGAATGAATAAACCGGCTATGACCGTAGCAGAGAAAACTCCCAGCGATACCATCACACCAAGTAAATCGTCAATTTTCAACAAGGCCCCGGCGATCAGACTAGTAGTTGCGATTGGGAGTGTCCTGAAAGTAGCAAGATATTTGAGTTAACAATTATATATATGTAGGTGTTGTTCTATGATGTTCGCCAGTTATTCTCGAAAAGGCACTTGTTAGCTGTTAATTACGCAGACAATTCGCAGTCAGTGTAGAAAACAAAACACGCAATTAAGCCATCTAAGACAAGGAAACATACTAACTGATTAGAATCTTTGCATTCGTGAATTTGCTCAACATACTTCGAACTAACCACGCCCTAGTAGAATAAACCTTTCCGTACACATAGACGCATTACTATCCTCTTGGCAATATGCGAAACGTCCATCCACATTCACACAATCATGTTCCCCAAAACACTCAATTCATATATGTATTTACTTCACAAATTCTTTTATATAATCACAAAAAACACAGATTTTCAGACAGTATGATGTAAACTTCCCACATCATTGTAAAATTTACATTATGTACAGGTAAAAACACCATGTATGCAACACAAATACTACGGTGAATATTCGTATGATACAAGTCAATAACAAGACCCCTCCTAAATTGTATAACATACGTGATCCGAATATGGTCTATATATTTAAAACTTCTTTTTTATATGACAGCCATCGCAGATTATTTTTTACACGAACACACAGCATGAAACAGCGCGACCATGCGATATGTTACTAACCACTTACCAAAGAACCACTGTTAATATCTTGAATATAATAGTCTTCATGGCGTTAAAGAATTGTAACATGACGTTTGTATGTTCGGGTTCCACGCTCATAGCCATCCCGAAAGCCATTGAAAATATCAAAATACCTTATAAATAACAACAATGCATTCGGGTTAATATGTCAACAATGTCCGTTCATTTTCATTGCAATAGATTTTAATTCTCTACGAGTCTCAACAACAACACATTGTCGATAGCAATATATGTTCTCTCCAGTTTCGCCAAGTGGCCAACATATTACTAGCATGTTTTAGACATAAACTCGGAAAAACATGTACAATATGATTATGTTTCCAATCGGCTGTCAACACATACACTGAATATCTCGAATAAATCAACTCACCTAAATAGTTGGTTCCGCTACTGTGTGATACAGATTTTGATAAAACCACAACGTCGATTTCTGTCTTATTTGTGACATTATTCGTCGAAGTCGACTCCAGCAAGTCATATTCTGTGTAAACCTGAACAGACATGTAAATTTATTGGTAATAGCGATAACACATGACGCGGAAAGTGGTGAAGAGATCGAGTGTGTTTATGACACATTACCCCGTGATATCGCGATATTTCACGAGACCGAGTTACAATTTCTTCCCAATAAGTGTCACCATGGTCTGATACCCCGGTCACTACACATAACCTCTCACAACTATATTATGCTTAATTCCCTATATAATTTCTTTTATTATCATTAGTCTTTTTCTTAAAGATTCTCTTTTCGTAGGAACTACTTCAAGGTACTATCCCCGCCGCGTATTCCCGTGTGGTCTTAAAGACAGACTCTGCTCTGTGGTCATGGGTGTACCGCTGTGAGATCGGGGTACTACTGTAAAGCGAAACTGGGATCAATGTCATGTCTGTATCACTTACCCGTTGTACACATGCCTGTACAATATTGTCCGTGATTAAATTTCTGCAAATTAATATTGGTAAACATGTCAGAGTGGTAAACTGAATAATTTTAGTTATTACTTTCGTGTTGTATTCACCCTGGCAACTAGGAGCCATATTTACATTAATCAATTACTCATAACTCAACTTGTCTCTGTTATTGGAAATAATTGTTCACACATGCATTCAATGTGATATATGAAACTGCATTTACCGGAATAAATCAGCAAAAACATCCTGGGTCTCATAGTACTGAATACTACTCGTCTGAAGAAGCTTCGCTGAATGAGTTGCCGGGTTTGATGCTCAGAGCTAGGACTAATCCCAGCACGACAGCCAGTATTATTATAAGCACTATGTATGCAAATGATAAAGCGCTCATTTTTGTGTTGGTTTTCAAATCGAGTGATGCCACGGCTGTCGATAAGCTCGAGCCATTCCATTAGAGCGCGTCCGTTCCATTAGAGAGCGTTCCATTAGAGAGCGGTCACGTGACGTGTGATCACCTGACAAGTGCTGGATACACGCTCTAACGGAAAATACCGTTAGGTTTAGCGAATTTACGAACCGTTACGAAAGAGTTTGCTCGTTCGAAGACCGTTTTTGTAAAAGCGACAGCCTTGGTCGATACACTGTTCATTTACACAATCTTTCCTGGCACCATACGCACTCACA